AATGTTGCCAACTATAAAAAAAAACACAATTGTATAAGCGTAACAGCCATGAATGGTACACATTGCTGACTATCCCTCCCTTGTACATGGCCTGGCCGCCTATACCACCATTACTCCTCCATTCACCACATACTGAAATGTCACTATGGTGCCCAGGACACCGGGAATAAATATTGCTGTATTGTGAGAACAGGAGTTCAGACAAATCATCATTTAGAGGCAGGGAGACACTAAGGCCTGTACTCCCGGGCTCCCTCATTGCACACAGCTGGGGAGGGGGAGAAGGCCAGGCCGTGCCGATCTCGCCGCTCTGATCCCGGACGAAGCGCGAACTCTAGCCCGGGGCTGCGCGGCCTGTGGGGTGACCGCTGTGCAGTCTCATGGGCGGGGGGGCAGCTGTGGGGAGGAGCAGGGCCTTTACTTACCGTCGGTGACGGCTCCCATGTCGGCGGGTAGTGAGGTCAGACTCCCACAATGCAGCAGCCCGGGACAAGTATGGAGGCCGCACACACCGGGCCGCGCTCTCTATAGGCTCCCCCGAGCCCAGGTGAGTGTGACACCGCCGGGGGGGGGCAGTACACACCGCCCCGAGAAATGCTGATAGGGGCTCACTACCAATTGGGGGCCCAGCGGGGGGGATGTGCGGCCTGCGATGCATGCTGGGACTTGTAGTGCTGGAAGGCCGCAGGCTGTTTAGTCAGCCGGGGTCATCTGAGTACATGGATTACGTAGGCTAGTGAATGTATCTGTCCAATGCTGGCACTTGTAGTTCTTCCTATGCTGGAGGGGTGCATTGTGCCCATACATACTCTGCACTATACATATTTATATATCATGCTGGTACTAGTAGTTCCTTCACTGCTGGAGGGTGCCCACCTTGAGTCATGTCCATACATACTCTGCACTCTAATGCTGGAACCAGTAGTTCTTCCTATGCTGGAGGGGTGCAGGGTGCCCACCATGAGTCATGTGCATACATACTCTGCACTACCCACATCTGTCTTGCTGGTACTAGTAGTTCCTCCTCTGCTGAGGGGTGCAGGCTGCCCGCCATGAGGCATGTCCATACATATTCTGCACTATCCATTCCATATCTATATATCATGCTGGTACTAGTAGTTCCTCCACTACTGGAGGGATGCAGGGTGCCCGCCATGAGTCATGTCCATACTCTGATCTATCTATCTATCTATCTATCTATCTATCTATCTATCTATCTATCTATCTAGTTCTTCCTATGCTGGAGGTGCAGAGTGTCAATGAATACTCTGCACTACCCACATCTGTCTATATATTATGCTGGTACTAGTAGTTCCTCCACTGCTGAGGGACTGCAGGGTGACCACCATGGGTCTTGTCATACATACGCTGCACTACCAACATCTAACTTCATCATGCTGTTACTAGTACAGTTGAAACTCGAATAATTAGAATATCGTGCAAAAGTAATTGCCGTAAGTGCTGCAAAAGGGGCCCAAACCAAGTACTGAGTACATATGCATGCTTGTACTTTTCAGAGGTCCGATATTGTTCTATGTACAATCCTTGTTTTATTGATTGCATGTAATAATCTACGTTTTTGAGGTAGTGGATTTGGGGTTCTTGGGGTTTTCATGAGCTGTAAGCCATAATCATCACAATTATGACAAATCACGGCTTGAATTATCTTGCTTTGCATGTAATGAGTCTATCTCATATATTAGTTTCACCTTTTAAGTTGCATTAGTGAAATAAATGAACTTTGCACGATATTCTAATTATTCGAGTTTCACCTGTAGTTCCTCCACTGTTGGGAGGGGTGCAGGGTGTCCAGTATGAGTCATGTCCATACATACTCTGCACTACCCACATCTATCTATATATCATGCTGGTACTAGTAGTTCCTCCACCACTGAGGAAGTGCAGGGTGCCCACTATAAGTCATGTCCATACATACTCTGCTCTATCTATCTATCTATCCATCATGCTGGTACTAGTAGTTCCTCACCACTGAGGGAGTACAAGGTGTCTACCATGGGTCATGTCCATAAATACTCTGCAATACCCATATTTATATATTATGCTGGTACTAGTAGTTCCTCAACTGTTGAGGGGTGCAGGGTGCCCACCATGGGTCTTGTCATACATACTCTGCACTACCCAACATCTAACTTTATATATCATGCTGGTACTAGTAGTTCCTCCACTGCTGGAGGGGTGCAGGATGCCCACCATGAGCCATGCCCATTCATCCACTGCACTAACCACATCTATCTATATATATCATGCTGGTATTAGTAGTTCCTCCACCGCTGAGGAGTGCAGCACACCCCCCCCCCATGGGTTATGTCATCTAGCAAACAACTGAAACAGGAAATGTTTTTTTTGTGGGTCGCCCTCATCAATAAGTTACAAGTTGTAGAGAACAAAATTGAAAACTAAAACTTATTTACACATTTTTTGAAAAATCCATGTATTTAAAACCAAAAAGCATGTCTTTCATGGCATCTGACATGTTCCTTATAGGCCAACATTACAAGATTCGTCAGTCACGAGCAATGCAACAATCTGAATCTGGTTTAACAACAAGCTGGTAAGAGAGGACATGTTCTGCTGGCCGATATACTGTCTCAACGCATTTCGCCACTGTCGGCTTCTTCAGGAGAGGGACCTTCACCAAGAGTAACTACGTCATGAGACACTGCAAGGGTTAAGTGCTTGTTTTGGTCTAGGGAGGAATGAAAACAAAGTTATACTCTCCTGATCCTCTGAGCCGGCTTGCTCTTAGACCGGTCCCTGGGGCCTCTCTCCCCCTCTGCTGCAGCGGTCTAAGGTCCTTGAGTCATCACATTTTATACACAGTGTATAGGGTGTGAGGACGCCAATGGGCATACCATTGCAGCAGTGGATGAGGAGACAGGCTGGAGGGAGCGCTGTGACAGCCGGCAGGCTCGGAGCATATGGTGAGTATAACGTTTTTTAATTTTCCCCTCTAGACCAAAAGGAGCACTTAACCCTTGCATTGGTAGCCCCACTGCAAGGGTTAAGATTCATTTTCCCGGGAGTTCTGCTTTAGACCTCATTCACACTGCTAAGAACTGGCCCGTACAGATCCGTGCAGCACGCACGACCGTATCGGGCAGCTCCCGGGAAGGACAGGTGCTGCGTGTGATTGTACGCAGCAGCCTGTTCTCTATGGAACGATGTGGCCCTACGCTCACCCGAGCTGCACAACCGTGCTGACAGGATGGATCCGGACACTCGCACGTATGTGCAGCTTGGGTGAGCGTACGGCCGCGTCCTCCCATAGAGAAGGACAGGCTGCTGCGTACAATCACACGCAGCATCTGTCTTTCCCGGGAGCGGCCCGATACGGCCGTGCACGCCACACGGATCTGTGCAGGCCGGCTCTTAGCAGTGTGAATGAGGCCTTATAGTGATTGGCAATAGTTTTTAATGTAACTGTATTTTTTAATAAACATGGAGTTTTAATTTTGTATATTGTGTCATGTGTAATTATTGTGTTGTTTATGTTCCATTCTGCAGTCACACTACAGAAGAAAGATCCAGAAAACTAACAATCTAAACGGAAGCTATTAACACATCAGCAACTACATCCTCCAGTTGGAGGAATGCATCCTTGAAAGGTACGTGGTGGTCAGAGCGCTGCATTCCTTCCTATACCCAAGTTGTTGTTTTTTGGTTTGTTTTTTTATAATTGAACATTTACCATTACGTATAGTGTATACCAGGGGTGGCAACTCCGCCCCTCCAGCTGTTGTGGAACCACAAGTCCCATGAGCCATTACATGATTGACAGTTACAGACATGACTCCCAGAGGGAGAGGCATGTTGGGATTTGTCGATAAAGCACAGCTGGAGGGTGGGAGTTGCCCACCTCTAGTCTATGGGCAGCCAGATCTAAGTGGACGTGCGTCAGTTTACATCTGATCACCCCAAAATCCATCCAGGTCGGAGTTCCGTTTTGACAGACCTGATCATGGCACACGTGTCTGCATACATCTGACCCCCCACAGACCTAACGTGGGTCCGGTAAGTTCAGTTCTTTCTTCCATCACAAGATGAAGGAAATAAAACTGGACGGACACGGATGTCATAACGGTGACATTGGATCCGTACTGCTCCGATCAGCCGGGGACCTGTACACGGATCCTCTACTGATCGGAAATGACAGCGCCCGTCTGAAAGGGGCCTTGTTTTCTGTCTCTAACATTGGTCGCCAGTACAAGTAGACGGGTAATTCTCCCCAGGGGAAATCCTGCATGGGATGATTTTTTTGCAATGTGACAGCATTTTTCAGTAATAAAGATTCTTGTTCCTAAACACAGTAACCCCTATACACCAATCAGAATCCGTCTTGCACTGGTCGGCTTCTGATTGGTTGATATGGATTACCTTACTATAGCCAATACTGTTATATTTTATTATTATTATTTATAGGATTTTAAAACCCCTGTCACTTTTTTGCCATCTGTCACATTGGGCAGTTTTACTTAACTTCCTGTCCTGTAGCCACAACAGGAATTGTGAGAAAATCTCCCAAAGTGCCAGAAATAGACTATTGTCACTAGAACAAGTGTCCCCATTGGAATATTTTCCTCTCTATTTGTATGCTGGGGGCAGCTCACCATTTTGAATTTTCTCTTGCTTTCAGTCCCAGCTTTAGTGGTCACCAGGACAAATAAAGAGAGCAAATCTACGGGACACACACACACACAGCAATAAAAACTTGAGAGGTGCCAACCTCTTACCGCTCTTAAAAAATCTGAAACAAAAAAAGTTTTGGTTTTACATATGCTTTAAAAATCAACTAAAGTAGTATTGAAGCCCAAATCTTTTTTTTATTTTTGGAATAGAGTAGGGCTATAACCCCTGTCAGCTTTTTTATGCCATCTGTTTCCCATTGGGAAATATTCCTTCACTTCCTGTCCAATAGTGGCAGGAAATCCCTCCTAAAGCTGGCCATACACCTATCGATTATCTGCAGATTTTCTATGGTCAGATGGAAAAAGTGCAACAGATTCCTCCATCTACGCTAAACTGTGTGGATGGGGGAATCTCCCACTGGGCCAAGATTCAGTATCTTGCTAGTCGGCCCCGCTAGCTCTCAAAATACCTGATGAATCTGATTGGATGCAGGCATTGTTCAGGTGTTTTGACAGCCAGCGGGGCCGACTAGCAAGATAATGAAGCTTGGCCCAGCGGGAGATTCCTCCATACACACAGTTTAGTGTAGATGGAGGAATCTGTTGCACTTTTTCCATCTGACCATAGAAAATCTGCAGACAATCTATAGGTGTATGACCAGCTTTATAGAGGGAATTGTACATGGAAATAATTTTATCCGGTTCCTCGGCTCGACAAAACTTGATTTTTCAACTGACTTTTTTGTTGAAAATGCAGATCTGAAATTTTTCAGAGAAATGGTGTCTGTGTTCAATCAGATGTGGGCAATGTCCGGGTATCCAGCAGCTCCCAGAGCAGCGGCTGCTAAATCCAATATCTATCAGTGGCATGTTCGTCCATCTGTTCTGTGTAGCTTGGATGGGGGAATCTGTTAGGTTTTTTTGTCCAGCCTGGCCATACACTAGTAAAATAATCTACTTGTGCAGGGGTAGACAAACTTCGGCCCT